TTTTGTTCTGGTATATCAACAAAATATAGTTTACAAGTAAAACAAAAATAAGCAATTTATGTTAAAAAATTGATACAAAAACATATTATGATTTAAACTGGAAGAGTATTGAAGAATTAAGCTATTTTAAACACTCCTTTGGAAAACAAGCATCTGCAGACAAGCCACCTACAGACAAACTGCAGACGAGCACTACGGAAAGCAAAGTCAGCACTAGGTATTTCAGTATTTTTTATTCGTTTAATTTCTAACATTTTCGGTAAGTTAAATTTTTTTTACTTTTTTAAAAACTGCTTTTAGTAATTAAACTATTAGTATATATATATATATATATATATATATATATCGGAAAAAGGAAAAATTAGTATATATATATATATATATATATATATATATATATATATATATATCGGAAAATTTAAACTTAAATTGACCGCCCAAAATTTGGGTTGGTACCTACACCTTGTTGATCTGTCGAAAGTATTTTTGACCTCAAGGTTGGCTGTCTTTTCGCGGTTTAGTTCGTTCCTGTTTCATTTAACGCCATTTTCCCGGCGACATTTGTAGGGCTTTGATCGGTAACTTCATTTATACTACTTTTTAAATTTTTATTAATATCACTTATAATGCTACCTAAAGTTAAAATCAAAGCTTAATATTCATTAAATAGTTGGAAGTTATCTATGATTTTCTTGGTTCTTTCTCACTAATTAACATTAAATAACATTTAATTTACTTTAGACCACATGGTCATTTGCTGTGCTAATTTTATAAGTTCATATATGTTGTTAGTTACTTAATTGTTTATACAAAATCAGCGTATTATGTCCATTTACTTAGTTTCATTCACATTATTGTTAATAACATATTGACTGCTACATGTCTTTTTAAGGTAACAATTAACATCGTTTCCATGATTGTGTGGTTCTCATATTGTAATTTTTTTGATGAACTGATGATGCTTTCAAAACTCGAAAGCGAAATCTTCAAAATAGATAAAGTAGCCTATCAAACTTTGTCTTTTATTTCTCCACCTAGAGACCGATATAAGAACCCACCACTCGTCTGAGTGATCCTTATATATATATATTATATATATATATATATATATATATATATATATATATATATATATATATATATATATATATATATATATATATAGAAAATAAAAATATAACAGAAATAAGCTTCGAAGTAGAGTAAGGATATTAAAGTTATACGCAAAGTTATACAGAAAAAATATATATTATTCCTAACAAAACATCTTTTATAAAAGCGTACGATATACGTTTATCTAAACTGCGAGCATGCTACGTCGATATAAATATCTCCGAAATATTGCCCCTTATGCAGCAAAAATATTTTTTGTATTTGAATAAAAACGAAAGCATGTTTTTTTTATTTATTTAAACATCACTGCATCCCGACAAGAAATATAAAGCAAGGAAAAATTTCATCATCTCCACTTCGCTCGCACAACCGTCATAACCTAATAAAATTCAAAATAAAATAAAAGAAGTACGAATGTGGTAAAGCTCGACTTTCTCAAGCAATATTACTAGGCAGATCTCCAACATATCGGATTTTCTCAGATTCACTGAAATGCTTTTCTAAACAGCAAAATCCACACATTTACCGATGTCGTTTCTGGCTTTAAAGTCAATGCTAAATCTCGAATTCACAGTAAATGTTGCATTTTTAAGTTAATAGTGTTGGTTAGTTAGACAGAATTTTCACAATATATTATTTTTATGGTTAGTGGATTTGCAGTTAGAAATAAGTTTTTATTGGTTAGAACAAATATTATCTGTATCGATATTTTTATAAAAAAACAGAGTAACGCCATATCAGCAGTGAGCAGAGCTACTTTTAAAAGTACATTCAACAAAACCTTTATGGAATTACCATGAATTTATTTTAAACCAATATTTATTTTTTTTTCTGAAAAAAATTGATACTGTTGCAAGGAATATAGGTTTTTATAAATAATACACAAATCAATAAAACAATCAGATAACACAGATGGGTATGTTATTTATGGAACATGATTAAAAAATTAGAATAGCGATCTTACTACTATCTAGAGTCTAAACTACTAAATATCACTCCCTTGTGATTTAACAGCTGTGATTAGAAAATAACAATCACAACCTGTGAATAACAACAAAATATACTGTCACTGTGATTTTGATTTCGTTATTATTCTATGTCTGCAGTTCTTGATCGCAACGACGTGATATATCACGTTCTCGTCTCAGTCGCAAAGTTGTGAAATGAGAGACGTGTAACAGAATAACAAGGAACAAAATAGAGGTAGTCGGTGCATCGGCGTTATTATAAAGTATCTTTCTAATGAGGAATGCAAAAGTAAAGTTAATATTATATCATCTTTGGAAGAACATTAACATCGCTAGTTTAGTGTAATATTAGTACGTAAACAAATAATATTTGAAAAAAAAAATAAAAAAGATATTTAGGGTTTCAGTTTGACTATACAAAGTTAAGAAAAAGAGAAATGCATCAAACAGTGATCCAACAAGTTAACTCAAATCTAACAGAAGTAGGAGAAGAAATCTTAACATGAGAAGATGTCAATGAAAAGTGTAGCAATATTCAGAATTTATTACTAAAGGATGCAGAAGAAAATTTAATTCAGAATTTCTAGCATTAATGGAAGAGAGGAGAAAAGCCAAACAGAGAAATGAACCAAAATATCAAAAACTACAAAGTAGAATTAAAGTGGAGACAAAAAAGTCCAAGGAAAAGTGATTAACAGATCAATGCATGGAAATAGAAGAGTATGACAGAAAATTCGACAGCTTTAATAGGTACAAAAAAATAAAAGAACTAACAAATAACAAAAAGTGAGTACATTGGATATGGTAAACACACATGATAATGGTAAACTCATTGCAGACATCAAAAATAAACTAAGTTTTTGGCAAGAACACATAATGAAACTATTCGACGATGTTAGAATGATACAAGAAGAACCACAGGAAAAACAGGACCGAAAATAATAATGTGCCAATTGGAACAGGCAATTAGAAATGCAAAGACCGCAAAATCAGTAGGCCCAGATCAGATACCCACTACGCTAATTAAATGCATTGACGAAGAAACACTGCATATATTTTTAGATCTGTTCAACAAAGTTTATACAACAGGAGTAATACCCGAAGATTAGTTGCTATCAGCGTTTTTAAAACTACAAAAGTCAGTACATGCGACATAATGCTCCCATTACAGAACAATTTTCTTAATAAGCCACACACTTAAGATATTTCTCAAAAAATACATGAAAGACTATACAACAAAATAGAAGAAGATATAGATGATAGCCAGTTTGGACTCAAAGCAGGAATAGGAACGAGAGAGGCTCTGTTTGCTTTTAACGTTCTCGCGCAAAGACGACTAGATATAAACCAGGATCTCTACGTCTGCTTTATATATTATCAACAGGCTTTTGATAGAGTACGACATCAGAAACTAGTAAAACTATTAAAAGAAAAGAATGTGGATAGTCGGGATAAACGGGTTATTGTCAATCTGTACTGGAATCAGAAAGCAAAGGTTAGAATCGAAAATATCGATACAGAAACTATGGAAATCAAAAGAGGTGTTAGACAGAGTTGCGTGCTGTTCCCATGGTTATTCAATCTGTACAGCGAAGCTATTTTTAAGAAAGCAATATCAGAGGAACGACAGGGTATATTAATAAACGGAAAAAATTTGAACAGCATAAGATTCGCAGATGACACCACTGTTTTTGCAGACAGTCTAAAAGCACTGCAACGCTTAGTTAATGGATTACATCAAGTCAGTATAAAATACGGACTAGAAATGAACGTTCAAAAAAAAAACCAAGTGCATGATGATTTTTAAGCAACATACAGTAGGAAGGCTAGATATCGAGGGAAAACAAGTAAAAGAGTAAATAACCTGGATGAGTGTTGCCCAAAATCGGTCTTGGTCTTGTTCTTGCGTTTTCGCAAGACCAAGACCAAGACCAACACCGCCTAATTTTAGCTAGACCAAGACCAAGACTGACCGTTCAAGATTTACGCAAGAACAAGACTAAGCCTGCGAGACTCTTGCGTCTTGCAGTTAAGACTGAGTGTCGTTTTAGCGAGTATAGCAGTTCGGGTATATGCTTAGAGACTCTATAAGAGGCAAACAAATTTTTAACAAAAATTTGAAAAATTGGATTTATGCAAATTACGAACAATACGATAAACATACATACCGAATCAAAATATTCATTAAAAAAACACATTTGACACGTACTTGCCCGTACAAACATTTCGGTGATTCCTTTTTATTAATATAGAAGGTGCCAAATATCTCGGCATGCATTTAAACCGCCCTCTAACTCAGAAAAAAACTTATATTCATCAATCGCAAACAGCTTGGACTTAAATTAAGTAATATCCATTGGCTCATTGGCGACAAATTAAAATTGTCCTTTGATGTAAGCCCATTTGGACATATGTTACTCTGTGTTCATTGTCCAGGACATGTTCGCATACCTGGCAAACTCTATCCTAACATGTATTTATCTTAAGGTTTCTCTTACATACGTATTGTAACACGTCTTTGTTTTGAGGTTTCTATTACATAAAAACTGTTGCATTCGCAAGGTATTTAATAAATGCATTTCTTTGGTTTCTTCTGTGTTAATTGATTTGGTTTTGGACAGAATAGATTTCTGTGTATGGGTTTTTTTGAATGTTGCTGTGATATTGTATTTATTTTCTATTATTATTTTTAACTTTACTGATAAATCATTTACATATAAAATTTTTGGCATTTTCAAATCGCTTCTTGTAAGCAATTGTAAGCAGAATCAAAATATTTTCAAAACTAATCGAATCTTGCATAAATGAAACTAATTGCGCTGGTCTTTAAAATATAATAGAATATGTTTACTGATATTAAAAGAACGAGTTGTTAAAAGAAATACAGTTTTTTCAGTTTAATAAATGAAAACACAATTATTTATTGAAGTATAAATTAATTTATTAATTTAATTATTTAAATTAACATAAATCATTATAGAATAAAGTTAGTATCGCATATTATAGCAAGTGCCTAGAATAACCCAAAACGGTGTGTTAATTTACTTTGTACTTAGTAGATAATCATAATATTTAAACACTGCTCGCTCTTGTTCATACGTTTCGATTGATCCTGGCCGTTGTAACCTGGAAAATATTGTTTGTTATTTGTTTATAAAATAATAATAAATAATATTTATACAGTGAGAGGATAAAGTCATACCCTCGTGTCAACTCGTTTATTTTCAAAATAAAACCAAATCGTCTGGCCACGTCAATTTATTTTTTAAACTTGTTCTATACAACGGTATTGAAGTTTCAGTACTTTAATGAATCCGTATTAGGTAATTAGTCTAGGGAAATACGCAAAAAGTACCCTGTTTGTGTCTAGAAAAATCACTACCTCTCAATCAAATAAGCATACTCCGATCTACCCAAATGGATACCTTTGATTAAGATACATACTTATCCCAGAACCCTAAACGAAACTTATCTGAAATATTATCCCCCCAATAAGAGATAACGAAAATGCCTTTGCTGAACCGAAGCCTCGAAGCCAAAAACCAAAAACTCAACATGAAAACCACAGAAACCTTGTAGAAGATCTTACCAAATGCACCTGTCAATTTTTTAAAGAAAACTCCAACAATGGATACTTGACACACGAAGAACTTATTTACTTCTTTAAAAATGCGCATGGTTCTTCAGATCCTCTCAGTGTCGCCAGAACTTATTCGGAGGATATCGAAGGATTGATAGACTTTCTAAAAAAATACATCCTATGCTAAGTCCAAGATATCTTGGACTTGGTTTTTTTAGAATTAAAAACAAAATTACAGAACAAATTTTAAGTAATACTTCCATAGATGATCCTAGCGATTCCTCTTCGAAGACTTATTAATTATACTATTTTTAATTCTATTATTCAATGGAACCTAAATGGGTACCATACACATTTAGAAGATCTTAAAATTCTTATAAATAAATTTCATCCATCCATCCTATGTTTGCAAGAAACACATATCAAAGGAAATTCCTGTCATAATCTTCAAAACTTCCAAAACGACCAGACTACGATTAGGACACACCAAGATCACACATGATTTCCTACTACAGTGTAGCGTTTTATATTTTAGATATTTGTAATACATCCCTGGTTGTTTTTACCAAGAAAAACGATCGATAATATAGGAAGTTTTTTTTTAAATATTTCGACGAAGTTAATTGTATGTTGTAAATATTTCAAGTTTTTTTCGACGAGATAAGGCAACAATATATATGTTTTTATCTCTGTGTTTACAAAGTCAGGTAAAGACATCGGTTTTTGGGGTCGTCAATAAACTACGTGCTATTTTTAATTTGTATTAGGTATGTTATAACTACATATTTCAACAAGTTTTTTGTCGCCTAGAGGATTATATTTTATGATGCCCCTTAATATAAAAAAAGGTTTTATTTGTCTTTCATCATTAGGAACGAATAACAAGGGGATATTTGTTTGTTTAGGCTTTTGTAGGCGCAAAGGGGAAATTTTATTTGGCGTGGAATTTGTAAAATTTAACGCAGATGGGAGTGGACGAATAGATTTTAGACAGGGCAGACGTGTTACAATGTAAGTGGAAGAACAGATTTGAAACGGTAGTAGACGCTTTTGCGGATATATAATGCTGAGGCAATTGTGAATCGAAGAGTCGATTCAAATTTTTTAGTAATATCTTAAGATCACTTAAAGTGATAATATTCTTTGCTTTGCATAAGCAGCTTTGTCAGAGTGGTCATTGGATTTGAATGGAAAGTGAAAATTTTTGAGAAGTATGATATGGAATGTCCCCGTCGTTAGCTCGATTCCTCCACCAAGTTCCTGTTTAGATCGTTCCTGCCTGAGTACGGAAATGGTTTCCTGTTTTCCATGTTGAAAATCTGTCCAAGTAGCTTCCTAGAGATGTAGCAAGTTTTTCCTTTTCAAAGTTAAGTGAAACATGTCAGAAATGAGGTAACTTTTAATATATAAATGTTTTCCACGTTATAAAGACATTTTTAATAATTGCTTTCATTAAAATAAAAGAATTTGTAATAATTAAAGTTTTATATTATTTTTGTCGTAGAGGTTAAATTCAATAATATTTTCATAAAAATGATATCCATAAAATTTTGATAATCTAAATTGGCCATATATAACCTAGGAACCATTGAACCATCAAAATTTTTGTAGCAATCTTTTATGTAAACAAAGAACATGTAAGTTTTTATTAATTTGGATTATGTTGTATAATAGGGTCTTGTAAAATCTGTATTTTTGATTACTGTTTGTTTGAGACAAAAATAAACGTTTAATTTGTTACTCTGATCTATTTTGAGTTTTATTTGAAAAAGATATATTTTTGATGTTTTATAATTATTTCCCTAGTTACAACTAGTGATTGTAGTAGGTATAATTAGGCACCTCAAGTAGCGCCCTATATTAAACTCCTTGAGGTGTTTCCGGTTTATTTTCATTTTGTTTGTCCCAAGAGATTTGTATAAGTACCCTTTTATTTCCTTTTTTTGTAGTTGCCCCAATCCAACCCCCATATCTTCAACTTATCCACGACCAAGTTCTCTAACAACCGACTGAGTGCCGTACGCACTAGTTCCGATTATTTTGTTTGCCCAATCTTGTCGTCATGTTCTTACCCTGTGGTAAGCAAAATAGTCGTTACAACAGAATAACCCAAACGTTTGTGTTACGAGTATGATAGACATCTAACAGTACATCACTTATTAGTGGAAGGTCCATTGTACGCATTCGAAAGACAATATGAACAGTTACTTACAACAATAAATGACATTATTAGGGTGCGTTCATAACTGAGACTTCGGAGAAATGGAGAAAATACTTCATTGTTACTTCATACTACATAAATTCTTTTAATTTTTAAGAACAAACTTTTTTTACCAAAACTACCATTCAATAATTTATAACAAACCTTTCTCACCAAATAGACTATAAAAAAATCACTGATTTTCTGCTTTTCGAACGCCAGAGTCACCATAAAAAACTACTCTTTTGCACATTACCTTTTTTTTACTTTAAACATCTTTTACAAAAATAGTTCAGCTGTTCATGTTCAGAATCAGAAATACCATTGCCTTTATTACTTTATACTTCTTCCCACATGTTTTTCCAATTTTCTCTGCAGTTTTTCGCTGTATATTTATAACAATATCTAAGTAGAAAAATTTAAAGTAACATATATAAAATTGCTATAAATTCGGAAACAATTAGTCAATTATAATCTATTTAATAATTGCTACGGCAATAGCGATACGGAGGAAGAGCAACATGATGATGGTTTGCTATAAATGTAAACTTTTCATTATTAATGACAAGCAAAAAGGTCTTTCTCATTAAAAGATTTTAGAAACAGACATTTATAAACAGGTATACAATAAATTTGGGTATATATCTCATTAACCATTTATCATCAGTGGTATTTATACTTCTTCCAGTCACAAAATTAATACTTCACCCTCTGGAATTTAATACCCTTGATGGAAATTGCCGTTTAATAACCTACTATGACGTAATATTTTGCATTTATGATGATGAAAATATGCATTTTTTTTCACCATAGAAAAAATATAAAAAATTTAGATTAAAATTCTGTTATTATAAATTGCAATAAATGCAGTTTAGGATGTATTGACTGATTTTATTAAATATGTCTTATAAGTCAAGGTAAAGGTATTTAGGACCAATAGGAGATTCTTTTTTGCCAGAAATATTGAGTTCCTGAGATCTCGACTAATAAACCTAAAAAATTTAAAAAAGCGCCTAGTGTAAAAAAGTATAGTACCTGATTGAAGCTAAATGATTAAAAAAATTTAAATTAGTGATAATTAAACCCGAAAACAAAGTATTAGCTTACAAGAAGAGCCTCCAATTAATGATACCATACCTCAACAATCCTCAGCACCAACAGTTCTACAAAAATTTATAGGAGTAGTTAAAACTGCACAAGAACATCCTACTGAAAACACTATCATGCAAGATAATCATATATTCTGTTCCGTTACTGAAGAAAAGTAGGTGGGCACTTAGGACCTTACTATTTAAAAAAAGAAAAAAAAATTCTTCGTTTCGTTGTAGCAGATATATTTCCCTACCACACTGGGTATTATTTATAGGGGGTTGAAACTGGCGACAGAAATTACTAAGCTGGAGATAGGGTAAGCAAGCAAACCGAAACGTCTGCGAAAGGCTACTCTTGGTTTGGTTGGAGAGCTGGGTCGCAAGCAAGTGAATAAAAGGGACTAGAAAAGGGTAACTACAAAAAAATGAATCAAAAAGTAATTATATTTCCTGGGCAACACAACATAGATTTCCTGGGCAACACAACACAAGAAGGTGCCTAAACTATTTAAATTGGACTTCGTTTACAAGAATTTTCCTGCTGGATTAAAAGAAAGGCTTTACGTTCCTAAAAGATATAAAAAGTGTTAGAATCTTTTTAAAGTCAATAATACTACACTTCGCTTAGGGAGAAACATCAGATATTTATTATTACTTTATTATTATTTCACCATAAACAGTTATAAATACAAATAATGTTAACAAAATGCGAAAACAACTTACAATGGTGCTATCTGTTTACAACAAACTCTAGACGTTGGGAACAATAAAGGAATTTAAATTATTAATAAATTGAAAATATTTAGATTTTTCTAAGGAGCTTACATTGAGGCCAACTTTCAAATACAAACAAAACAATTCAACATTTATGGTTATATACCAAATGTCCGAAGAAGATAATGCTAACTATTATATGTCAAGATAGAAATATAAAAACTTTTTGAAATAATAATTAAATTGTAAAATTATTTTCATTTAAAAATATGACAATTAGCCAATTCATAAAACTTGTGGCTAGTTTATTCATGTTTGCCTTGGTTATAACATGCATTTACATATTTTGTAGATAGTACATAACAAGTATTTTGGTATTTTGCGCTTCTTAAGTATCCAACTAAGTTTTCCAAATCCTGCCTATGCTAGTCTTGCTCTTCTAGTAATTTCCGCACTTTGGTTCTCTTTGTCAAGTCTCAGGATTTGGCCTAGGTAGATATATTCCTGGACTTGTTTTATCTCACTGCCATTTATAGTTAAACGTCTGGGGTCATCTGTGTTTGTCATTATTTTTGTTTTTTTCATATTCATATTCATAGTTAACCCATCATAATTTGCAGTTCCTCGAATGTGCTCGCTATAATGACTATGTTGTCAGCGAATTTGAGGTGGTTTAACTTATTGCCATTAACGTTAACGTTAATGGCAACAACAACCTAACCTAACGGTTTTAGCACTTAGCTTATTTGAAACTTACTATTTCAATAGCAACATGTTTTTTGAGTCGTTTAACCGTAATGCTGTTCTTTCTATTGTACTACGATGAGACTGTTTTTGTATATTTATCAAAAGTGTTGGTATTTTTTGCTTGAAACATTCTATGTTCGTTTCAATCCACTTAACAATGCCAAATAAATAGCTAAGCCCTGAATGCGCGTATATTTTCAATGTCTTAAAATGCATTTTTAGTATTAAGATTTAAACGATGTATCTGTTTAACCCTTCCTATGAACGCTGAAACCAATTCGGTTTTCATTTTGGTTATGGTCAGAGTGTTTTAAGTAATTATTATTAAAGTATCTTACCTTATGTTAACGATAGCCCTATCTGGAGATAAATTTTGAAATTTAATTAAAAAGCAAGCTGCCATAACACCCGTTCTGCCTCGCCCTTGACGGCAGTGTACGCCCAAAGCCTAAAAAAGTTATAAAAAATTATATAATTATACATACAATTAATTGTACATACATTTATTAATCTATGCATTAAATATTAGGTTAGCTTTAACGAAAGTACAAACTGAATATAGCTGCAAATGTCAACCATGAAAAATAATTGCTTATTTCGGTTTGGCAGTGTTGGCGTGTTTTATGCTTCAAATATAAAGAAAGAAAGCTTTAGAAAAGTAAATTTTGATTATAATATGTTATGAATTCTGCAATTTTTAATGTATGTAAAACAACAATGAGTAAATATTTGCTTCTTTGGAGGTTAATTGCAGTTCATTATTAGAAATTTGTTTGGCAATTGCCCTTTGATATATTAGTGGATAGATTTGGCAATCGTCAAATCACCAGTTGCCAGATTGCGACAGATATTTGTAATTAATTTCGAAAGAGACAAATATTTACTCGTTATTGTTTTATATAAATTAAAAATTGCAGAATTCATAACATAATTTAATCAAAATGTACTTTTCAAAAGTTTTCTCTCTTTATATTTGAAGCATACATCATATGTATTATAAAAACATCCCAACACTGCCAAACCGAAATATTTTATTCCATGTTTAGTATTTGCGGCAATATTCAGCTTGAACTTTCGTTTAAGTTAACCAACTATTGTATCCTGAAAAATCTTAAATCATTAGCGTCAGATTAAATCTGGGTCTAAAAAGCCCAAACGCTAGTTATGCCTGGCTATCGTGAATTATTATTAGGTCCAGCGCTCAGCACTTCGCACCTAGATGTAACGTGTAATAAATTAAATATCACTGAGAATCCACATATTAGCACAAGAGGAATGAAGAAAATTTTAAGAGTTTTGATACACTTTTATTATGTACTTAATATAAATTGGAGTAAATAAGTCGACGATACAAAATAGCGACTAACTTGGTCTCGTGTTGTAACGTCCCTATTTGGAACATCTAATCACACATCAGCTCAAGGCCACGATAGCTATAGTCGGAGAAAATGGTAGGGTACGGTCTAATGTAAATAAGAAATAAGAAACTACGTAATACTTCGAAAAATTAGACACGACTAGATAACATGAAATAATAAATTATCGCTGGGCGCCATCCTGTATTTTAACTCGAGGAAGCGAGTATAAAAGGAAATCAAAATTCAGTAATAAAAGAGACATTCAAAATTGTATTATTCATAAACATTGCATATTACTTCATGTTGGATTTAATATAAACAAAGCAACTAATTATCGTATCCAATCACGAATTGATTATTAAAAATTAATGAAGCTGTAAAATGTCATAAAGTGTTTTTATTCAAGATTATTGTTTGGCACTATGTGCTGCAAATAAAATTATATATTTAAAGAACATCACAAGTTCCATAAAGGAATACAACATAGCTATCTAAAAATTAGAAATGTGTCAACTAGACACTTGTGAAAACCAAGTCAAATAACAGGAGTTATTATTAAGTTATACTCTACTTTACTGGTTCCTTGTACTAAAACTGAAAATTATAAAAAACATACGTTTCTTATTGACTTTATTAATAACAAAAAAAAACAACTACATATCGTAGTAAATCAAAAATTGATCATTAATAATAAATGAAACTATGTTTCTTTCCCAAATTTCGAAATTTGTTCACATTTAGGATATAATAGTAGTTAAATATTAATTAAACATATTAAGTAAAAAAAAACTTTAAATAAAATTAAGATATTCCAATGTTTTGTCTCTATGAATCCATAAGGAAAATTCTCGCTCTTGATAGGGCTTAATAAAAACAAAAAGGGTACAACCTTATTTATCCATTCTCCGGAAAATCAAAGAAGAAGAGGTATCCTGTTTCCGTCCATCTGTTAACTACTCCATCAGATAATTAATAGTAAGGATCCATTTGTATTATATGTAATTTTAACTACTCCATCAGATAATTAATAGTAAGGATTCATTTGTATTATATGTAATTATTGGAAGCCATATTATAGTAAGTATTGGACTGTCGGAAAATGTTACAGTTAATTTAACATAATCATTGAAAGTTTAACCTCCCGGAAAAAGAGTCTGAAAAACAATTATTCATCTGAAATATAAAAAAAAACTTTCTTTGTAACTCACCCCTAATTTAGGAACTCATTCGAAACACAGGTCCGATCAAACGAACGGTTGCAACAAGAAAAGAGCAACGAAACTATTTCGCGGTTTGAAAGGAAGGCGTGACCGACAAGCTTAATATCGTTCGCCCTCATCGGATATGTTAAGAAATAATGTAGGACCTTGAGTCGAATACAAACATCTGGCAAATAGATGGGGTTAGTAGTCTCATTATAAAAAAAAAATATTCAAATTTATATTGAATTTTCTAAAACTTTTGAAACGGTTACAGTATTCAGAGCGAAGTGAGGTTGTTCGCGTCAAAAGTTGGCTCCTACTCCAACGGCTAAAACCATTAAGAGCTCTAGTCAGTGGCGCGTATGTTTGAATACAGATACAAAATGAATAAATTATTATTATGACACATGAGTTTGAAATAAACATAGATGCGAAACGGACCAGAAAAATTACACATGCTTTTGAAATTAGTGGCCATCCGGTGGGAAAAATAAAAAAAAGAACAAGATGCATCAATACCATGCAAAGTTGCACCAAGAGCTTATTAAGAATAACTATAAAAAACAGTAGAATTTTGTCGGTGGGCACAGGAACAAATTTAGAATGATGCATTTTTCTTGGAATTCTGGTTTTATTTCCACAAGAACGGTGTTGTAAACAGACATAATTTCCACTATTACTTAACTTACACCAGATTTCCATCCACAATCAAACAATATGATCATTTGCCCTTCTTTTTCGAATATTACGTAAACGGAAAAATGTATCTACATTTTTTGGACAACAAATTTCGGACATGGAAAATAAATATTACTTTAAATTATTGATTTATTCTTCACTCTTCAATAATGTGGTCGATCGTTTGGTTCTTCCCCCAGTCACATTGAGGAGACGGATTCTTTCCCCATTTATGTAGCATGTATGCACATCTGCCATGTCTGGTTCGGATCCTGTTTAGATGATACGACGGTACAATTAAAGATACTTAAAACAATCCCATTCATTTAGTATAGTTTAAACGAATTGTTTCATGGGAATCAATTTTATATGTAGAGGTGAAAATATAATGTTTCTTGTTAACAAGTGGTTGATGTACAATGTTTGGATCATCAGGTTTCAGGTCAAATCTTGGCAGCCAGTGTTTCTCAAGAGGTCTGCAGTCCCACATACACTAAAAGCAGAGATAATTTGTATATACACGTTGTTGTCCAAAGAGGAAGCAGAAGATATTGAGATCGACACAAATGATCCATTGGTGCATGTGATATTGCAACAGATCAATAACTCTCTTTATGTCTTCATGTTTTTTACTAACTGGAAATAATGACATAATGACATATGACATAATGACACATATGGGGTCATCGAAAATATAATAAGCAAATTTAGTATTGCATTAAATTAACTTAAAAGTTTATGTTGATGGAAATGTACCCAATCTATTACTCCTTTTATACATGTGTAAGAGTTCAACATCTAGAAGGAAATATAAGCAGTTTTTTGGTAGAATATGGTTAGAAAAAGCGCAGAATTAGTATTGCAAATGTTTGTGTTTTTGTATTTAATAGTTAATTTTAGATATACTGATATATGGGTCTGTATTCTCCTGCCACTTTGGCCAATGTAAATGCTTTACAAAAAGCACAATAAAGTTTATAAATCACAGACTTGTGTATGATATGAATTATATCTTTTGTATTGATTAATGATCTGATATTCATATTGGATTTAAAATTTACTACGGTATTTTAAAAAGATATATTGAATAGACTAGGAGTGTGGATATAAAAAAATGTATAGAATCAAAAATGGATTTAGGTGGTTCTCGAGAAATTACAGAAAATTATAAATTATAAAATATATAAAAAAATTCTTTTTTTAAACACATACCTTATTTTGTAATAAGTAGTTACCACAAATGTCGATAAATTTAATAATATCATCTAATAATGGTGCTTCGAATTCTTCTATTGGAATGATAGTCCACTCTATCGTAGATTGCTTGTTGATAGGTGGGAGTGTTTCTTCTGACAACGAAATCAAATGGTATATACCTTCTGAATATAAATATTTTAGATTTGCTGCTGATCGAGGACATGCCATGCAAGCTAGTTGATTTTCCGATACCCATGAAAAATTACATGGCGGGGAAATATCTAAAAGAAATATTTTTATTAAAATTAAAATAGATAATTTTTATTAAATATTCTTAAATGTAAATTATAATTTAAAACATGAAAAGACTGATATGATTTTGTACACACTTATGATAAATCAAAAAATGGAAACAGGAACGTATTTTTGAAGTGTGTAAAAAAAATTTAATTCCTAGCTGAACGCTTTCAGCTCACAAAGCCATCTTCAAAGCTATGCTATATTAGAATAAATATATATATATATATATATATATATATATATATATATATATATATATATATATATATAGCTAATTTTAAGTTTAGAATCAATAATCACTATTAGGAGAGATCATTTGGCAACAAAATTACAGAGAAAGCTGGTTGTATTTAGTTTTACTTTTTCATTGAAGAAACACAAAAAGGACTGTACACTGGACTCCAAAAAATAGTACGGGTGTCAGAACCCAACCATATATTAGAGTTGAAGCAGCAGATAGAATGAGCAAAATCGAAAGCCAGAGTTTTAAATGATTATTCAAATATGACAACTGATATATGCCATTAGAAAATTAAGATTTTTTAATTCTCGAAAAATTGCTGAACTGAAATTCATAATGAAAAAAGAAATCTATCAAAGACTTTCTAAAATTAAGTTTTTTAAATCTTGGTTTCCATTGCACCATATTGAATAATATGTTGAAAATTGACTGAAGCTCAAAATAGGTTCAATAGACAAGTTATCCGCAAAACAAATTATTTAAAAATAAAGAAAAATCTAGATTATAATATTTCTGTGTGTGATACTTAAGTGTATTAAAAAAATTATATCTCTTGATTGGAATTATAAAAATTTTAGGTAAAAATTGAAAATTTTTCTTGTTTCAATGAAGAAAAACTTGTCAAATTATTATGTACCTACAAATAAATGGTAAGTATAAGTAAATTAGTAATGAAATTAAAAAAAAAGAATAACGTTTTTAGTTTTCCATGAGGTCACTCTTCTTCCTCTAAAGTCTCCCACAACAAGTTGTTGAAAATAAAACAATTCTTGGTTAAAATTGTTGCCAGAGTAAGATATTGGACTACATGTACTATAAAAACATCTATAGAAAAACCTAAATGTATCAGAAGATGGAATTGCAGTAAATGGAAAACTTATAAATAAACAATACTAGATATGCTGACAGATAGTACGCAGGCGCTCCAAAGGCTCCAAAAGGATAATTTATTAATTTAAGGTGGTATGTCACAATGTTAAAATTTATATACTTTTTAGGTACAGTTATCGTCACTATTTCAAAACAGATCTTCAAGTTATGGTTATGTACGTAAACTGTAAACTTTCTATTTTAATGATATCTAGTTAACATTTTCAAAAACAGCAGTATTTTTTTCATAACTGTACTTAAATGCATCCATGTCATAACTTACGTGGTAAAGTGCCTAAAAATTGGTATTGTGAAATAATTATTGAACTTAGGTGTAAAATAACTACGTTAAATGATTAACTATCCAAAAACCTTTATTTTAAGCAAATGTTTGTTATCCATACTGCCGTAATTTTTAAATTAACTGTACCTAAAGATAAAATTACAATTAAAAGCTGCAAACTAGGGATTTTGTTGATGTTACCGTAATAAGTTGGCATTTTGATAGTGAGAAATTAGTTCAGCTATCACTTAACAGATGAGAAAATAAGTTCACGTGTCATTTAGTAGAAGGCAGCACTGATGTATTAAATAGCGATAGATGCGCGTTTGCCGAATTTAAGAAAAATCTGCAAAACATTGAAAACTAGTTTTGTGGTTATTCCAATTGTCTATGAGTTATGCAGTAACTATAGTAACGAATCACGTGGTTTTGTTAGCAAGGCGGCCCCTCCCAGTAGTTAATATTGTGGCTTCGTTTGACTTTCTTTCTATGTTCAATCATGATTGTATAAGGGAACAATGTCTTAAATATACAAGTATACCATTTTTTTCCTTGGCACCCTGACGTTATATAATCGTGGTTGAAAGTCAAACTATGGTCAGTAAAGTTTACTGCGGGATTATACTGGTTTTTACATAATATATAAACATAAAAACAATTCGTTTTATTAAATTTTTAACAAATTTAATTTTTATAGACAAAACAATATTATGTAATGATCGATTAAATTTTGTCGATTAATTATTTCCGGAAGAAAATAAGATTATTGATATTTACTTTAATATTTACTTGAGTCATAATTAGAAACGAGATGAAAATCTGAAATTTTCTGAGGAAAACACTTCCCTGTTGACATTCGATATGAAAAAATTGTTATTATATATTATAATAATTAATATAATAATTATTATAAATATATTATTAATAATTAATGTTATATATTTTAGATTTCTTATAAATACTGTTTTTATACATAAATAGTCGATCCAATTACCATAATCCCTTTTTGATCATTATTTACCTGTTTTTCAAATAATTGCAAATTTCTTTTCAGTTTGAAATAAATATTTTTGGGTAGATAAATAATTCAGACTTGTCGCCTGAAATATGAGTAATAAAATACCTCCAAATGAATGAACGTTTTGTGTATACAAGGTCAAGTAACAAAAATCCCTAATCAGCACATCCAGCTGATTGCTGGTGTAAGTGTAAGGCAATTAAAATTTATGACGTCTGGGAATGTAGTATCATCTTTCATATTAATAATAATATTAGAATTGCATAGTATGCATAGATACAGTTAGTCGAATTTGGGAAACTGTATTAAAATAAAATCACACTTGTGTAATTTGATACAAAATTAAGCTTTTTGTACAGTAGACTTGCGATTATCTGAGGTAATTGGGACCGTGACTACCTCGGATACCGAAAGAACTCTGTCACTGAGATTGGTTATACTGATAGAAAAATGTGTACCTATGTTAATAATGATTAATGTGTTTATTTTAATAACTAAAAACTGATATAAAAGTAGTATAAAAGATAAAAAAAATTAATTTATAAATGTTTTAAAAAAGTCTTTGATTGATTTTTGTTTCAACTTCATTCCTCTTTTTGGGGCGGCGATGTTGCGCCAACGTTGAAAATGAAGGACGTCTAATGGTGTTGATTCTTCTTGTTGCTCAATGTATACGAGAGCTGCTTCAAGGGACTTAAATCCTTCGGAATGAGAAATCTTTTGAGTTATCCCATCTGTATCTTCTTCTTCTTCTTCATGGGTGACGTTTAGACCTAGATTGGCAATTGTATCATCTGTCAGTTCCACTTCTTCATTTAGATTCCTCCAATCGATGATGTCTTGGTTTACGATTGTTTGTTCTACTAGTAATTGATTGGCTAGGTGGGCTATAGAATCAACTTTACAGTCATCAGTTTCATTTTGAACGTCTTGTGTTTTGTTGTCTATCTTAAATAATTTTTTCCACAACTTCTGAGTAGTGGACATTTTTACGTCGTCCCAGGCAGATGCAATCCAATAGCAAACATCTTTAACCGTGATCTTCTTCAATGCCTCAATTACAGTCAGCCCTTCATCCAGTTTATAGTTAGCAGTGGCTGAAGATATGCAGAGTACCTTGAGATATGCAGACGATATAGTCCTGATAATAGATAAGAAGGAAGAGTTACAGAAGATGGTTGAGAAACTAGATAGAAAAGCGACAGAGATAGGTCTAGAGATGAACTATAGTAAAACCAAGACTATGACAAACCAAGAAGACCAATTAGAAATAGTAGTCAAACAGAATAAATTAGAGCAGGTGGCAGAATACATATACCTAGAACAGATAATAAAGCTGAACAGGGACAATCAAACAGAAGAAATAAAAAGAAAAACTAGACTAGCATGGGCCTCATTTGGTAAACTATCATATATTCTAAAAAATAAAAAGTTCCCTAAATATATGCGAACGAAAGTATTCAACCAGTGCATTTTACCAGTTATCACATATGGCTCACAAACATGGACTTTCACAAAGGAAAACATCGACAGGATATCCAAAACACAAAGAGCAATGGAAAGACAGATGCTGGGTATCGGTCTTAAAGACAGGAAAAGAAACTCATGGATCAGAGAAAAAACAAAGGTGAACGATGTATCAAGACAGGTTGTAAAACTTAAATGGAACTTCGCCGGTCACACTCTCCGGCAAAAAGATGAAAGATGGAATAAGCGAATTCTACACTGGAGACCATGGGAAAAGAAAAGAAAAAGAGGAAGACCACAGATGAGATGGACTGACGATCTTAAGAGAAAGGCAGGAAAGGACTGGATGTAGATCGCCCAAAATAGAGACCAATGGAGATTAACAGGGGAGGCCTATGCCCAAGAGTGGGCGTCTAAGGCTGATTAGATAGATAGATAGATAGATAGTACCTGAAGAAGCTTCCGCCTATAATTCCTCTTCATTCCTTATATAACGTTTTGGTCTAGGGTTGGATGAGAGATGTTACATGGGGTGGAAGGAACACAGCTTGTATGTCACCACTAATCAATTCCCTCACATATGGGTGGGATCGTGCGTTGTCCAACAACAACAAAGCTTTTTGGACCAATCCACTACCACCACTCACACTTCGGTTTACCCACTGTTCGATTTCATTCGGCTTACGCTTCCAATATCCAACAGTTACTTCTCCGACATCTAAATCTAAAGAAACCTTCTTTATTGATTCACCCTTGTCCAACCTCTTAATTGTATTCACTTTTGTTTCCAAAGGTGCAATTACTCTCTTTCGCTTTCCACTCATATTGCACAGAAAGATTCTCTCTTACACTCACAAAAATCAACTTATGAAAAATTAATTATGAAACCGAAACTAATAACTGGAATAAATTCACAAAACAGTACATAAAAGGAAAAATATTACCGTACAGATACTTAATTTGACGATCTGAACGACAGCAAACAAATCGGTAGTTCAATTCACATTGATTAACATAGAAAGGAACAGGAAGTTGTAGACAAAACACCACACAGAAATTTCTGGACATGAAATCTCTTTCACATCAGCTTGACCTAAAGCAT